TATCATCAGAACTACATACCAGAGCTTCGATCCTGCCCCTAATGTGCAACCGCGCCCTTAGTTCACTGGCTCTGAGCACCCCGACCAGATGTCATCATACGCTGACCACCACCCTCCTGTAAGCCATCGCTCTCCATCGCCCCGACACCGCTCGCCATCGCCGATGCGTCGTCGTCCTTCATCACTAGAGCAGGAAAACTAAATGCCACAGCTACAGAGGCCGAAACTACGTCACCTGCGAAAATACCAAGGCCTCTTTCTTTACCGACGAATGTTCTGAATGTATATGTGGATGGCGTCGCTGCACTTGCTCTTGTCGACACTGTTGCCGCAGTTTCAGTGATCAGTACCAGACTCTGCCACTTGCTCAAAAATGTTATGACACCACTAAAAAGTAAATCGCTTCGTAGAGCAAGCGCAGAGCAGATTATGCGGGCTGCTGACTTTACTGCTCGCATTGCGATTGACGGCCTCATCTATGTCGTCGAATTGCTAGTGTTGGATTTCTGCTCTTATGAGCTCATTTTGGGTTGGGAATTTCTCTCCGCTAAGAAGACCGTCATCGACTGTTCTCGCACTGAGGTAGCATTGAAGTGTTTAGCCATGCTCCTGTATATGACGCTTTTGAAACCGAGGACAAATCATTTGTTGCTGAAGACGTTACCATACCACCGCACTCTTTTGCCCTTGCCATGTCTAGCAACGCGCTTGCCAAGTCGAGTGCCCTTTTCAAGACATCTGCCGTTTTCATTCGTCGCAAGTGTTCACCGCTACCGCATGCCCTTTTTGAACTTCATGGCGGTGTCAGCACACTACTGATCTCAAATCTGCTGTCATGTTCTGTAACACTACTTCGGGGCAAGTGCGTCGGGTGTGTTTACAGTCTCGACTCTTCTGCAATTATCGACATGCCGATGGTTCTTTCGCCGAACACGAAGTCACTGAAGCGACCTGTGCCTCTTCACCACAAACTACGAGACCTGACATACTCAGCAGCTTCATCGCCGACACGTTAACCATTCCGCAAGGTGCTCAGCTTCTACGAGTCGTGAACAAGTTTCGTTCTTCCTTTGATTGCCAGCGTAGTCCCCTCGGACGCACGTCAGCCGTGTGTCACCGCATCGACACGGGCACCAATGCACCACTGTGTCAAAGACCCCATCGCGTGTCCACGACAGAGCGCCAGGTTATCGGTGACCAAGTAGCTGACACGCTCAAGCGTGGCGTCATCCAGCCCCTGGGCATCTCCCATCGTCCTCGTTAAGAAAAAGGACAGGCCGGTTCACTTCTGTGTTGACTACCGTCGTCTTAACCAAATAACTCGAAAGGATGTTTACCCCTTACCGAGAATCGACGACGCCCTTGACTGCCTCCAAGGTGCGGAGTTCTTCTCTTCTACTGCCTTACGGAGCGGCTAAAGGCAAGTCCATATGGCGCCTGAAGATCAGCCTAAAACGGCCTTTGTCACACCCGATGGCCTTTACAAATTTCCCGTGATGCCTATCGGTCATTTAAACGCGCCCTCAATATTCGAGCGGATGATGAACAATCTTTTGCGTGGCCTGAAGTGAAAAACACGCCTGTGCTACGTAGATGACGTGGTTATACTTTTGCCAGATTTTCCAACGCATCTCCGCAGGCTAGATGAAGTACTACAGTGCCTAACTGACGCTAAACTCCAGCTCAACTGGAAAAAATGACGCTTTGGCGCAAGTCAGTTCACCATACTCGGTCATGTTGTATCTAAAGAGGGTATTCTTCTTGACACCGCAAAGCTTCATTCAGTTGAAGAGATCCCTAAACCTGCATCTCTGAAAGATCTGTGGAGCTTTCCTGGCCTCCGCTCGTATTTCAACCACTTTATTCGGAATTTTGCGATGATCACCGCCGCCTTGACTGAACTTCTAAGGAATGATTGAAAAGTTACGCTTGGTCACCAGCCAGTGATGACGCCTTCAAAAAGTTGCGCCATCTGTTAACCTCACCGCCAACCTTGCGTCACATCGACCCGACTGCTCCGATTGAGGTATAGACATCGATGCCAGCGGCGTTAGACTCGGCGCCGTGCTCGCGCAGCGCAAATCGGGATTCAAGGAGTACGTAGTCACAATATATTGCAAATTCAAGGCGAAAAGCGGTAGCTGCGCCGGGACAGAAGCAGCAAGAGCTGGCCCGTTAAACGGGCGGTGTCGCAGCAGAAACCTGGCAGTCCTAGCTCACGCCTCACGCATATATATATATATATATATATATATATATATATATATATAGAGAGAGAGAGAGAGAGAGAGAGAGAGACATGCGAGAAAGGAAAAAAAAAGAAAAAAGACTTACACGCGAAATCCAGCTTCGGTCCTCTCAATCGAGAGTGCGGTGCGTTAACCACTGAGCCACCGAAGAGCACGACCTTCACCGTTCAAACGGCAAGCTCTTTATATCTACCACTTACCGCTGCTCGCGGGTATCAAGGGGTGAATTATCGTGTTTTGAGCATTATCAGCAAGATGGCGCAATGAGCGCGCGGCAGCGCGCGCTCCATCTCCCACGTGTACTTTGCGCCGCTTAAGTGCTAACCACTGGCACAAGTATGCACGCGCCTACACGTCAAAAGCGTCTAATCGCGCCTGTGGAGGAAAAGAGCACGCAACCACTGGCAAGCGTCGACCACGTTGACGCCCACGCGTCCAAGCTTGATGCACACTGTTGCTTAATCTTTCGGCCCAAAACTGTATAATTTTAGCACATAATAGAGCGTTCTCAACTTAAGTGGGTTCATACATTGCCGAAGATTTGATAGTGCGTTGCAAGGTGAATTGTGTTTCACCCGCCACAGTTGTGATTATTTTAGACGTAATTGACATTGCATTGAGCGAAGTATGCACCGGAAATCAACTTCAGTGCGTGTGCCACTCTTGAGGGCGAAAAATCACGTCTAGGCTACTCTATGTGTGTCGTGGGCGCGCGGATGGGCCTTTGTAATGGTGTGGGGGATGTTCGCCGCAGTGCTCTCCTCCCTGTTATGTCTATGTATGAAATGCCTTAGCGCCCCCCACCCTATCATAATAATCTATGGAGCTGACATCGCCCCCCTCTCTCAGTGTCTCAGGGGGGCGGCTGCCCGCGTACTTAAGAGTTTTAATCAGGTTTATAAAAATATCAGGGCGTAAAATCACAAGGTTGCTATACCTACACCACCAAATTCATTAATATCATTGTGAATATCCTGGTACTTTCAGTACATTTGCACTTCATAATTTACAGCACTCATTAACCTAATAATCACTCCCAAAACTTCATTATGTGTCACAATTAGGTCATAAGACTACCACGGAGCCCTATTTGGAGGGCTTTGGAATGATGTCTGCGATAGATAGTTCTCTAATGCAAGGAAGCACACATAGGTCTTAATGATGCAACAGATATTGGTCATAAGACCGAAACCCTGTGTGGAATGCTTCTGGGCATTTTTAGGAAGTTCAATACGCTTTGACACAACTAACTGTGCCTTACGTTAAATGATGTGACTAATATTGGCCACAATATTGTAGCTGAATTCTGTATAGAAGACTTCTGGACGTTGTCTGTAAACAAAATATCTTCTGAAGTGGCAAACTGCACACGAAACTTCGTGACGTCACAGATATCAATCTTAAGACTGCAACTGAACCCTGTATAGAAGGCTTTTGATGATGTCTGTATTAGAAATTTTCTCTAATGCCAGAAACGACACCTCGCTCGAAATAATGAAGCAAAAACTGGTCATAAGATAGGAACCAAGTACAGCGCAGAATGCTTTTGGACATTGTCGGCAGTTGAAATATGCTCTAACGCAGCTAACTCTGCAAGCGCTTTATGTTCTGACAAGTATTTCTCAAAAGAATGCAACTGAATCTTGTTTGGAACACTTCTGAACGGTGGTTGTCATCAAAATATTCTCTAAAAACAAACTCAACCAAACACTTCATGAAGTCAACAATATCGGTCGTATAATATTGCAACTGAACTCTGTCTAGAATACTTTTGAACGTTGTCTGCAGCCAAAATGCTCTTCAAGGCAATGAATCACACCCGGCACTTCATGATGACACAGATATTAGTCATAACATTGCAGCAGAGCACTGCGTGAAACGCTTTCGGATGATATATTTATTTATTTTGAAATAATGCATCCAAATTTGGGACTACTGCTGGAGTGGTGTATACGTAAAACATTATGGAAGCATCTAAACAGTAATATCACAATCAGTGTGACAAGTGGCTGCCCATTGATCCGCGCATCGGACTTGCGTGCTGCCTAATGCGATCGTTCAGACAGTAGTCTGTAGTCAGCGTGCGAATTGTGGGCGCACCCCAAAATTTGCTGAATGCCAAGTAATTGCAAGATATAAGAACAAGAGGGCACGTGAAATATATGAGGCCTTTTTGATACGAAAAGCAGGAGTTGAGTGTGTAAAATCGCCGTTCGTTAATCTGCTGGATAGTGAATACAAGTATCTTTTCAGTTAGGTTGTCATTTCAACATTGGAACATGTGATCTCGCGCATGCGCCATCATTTGTCTTTCTTCTGTTTGTGATATCCTTGCCCTTTTGACTGTATATATATTCCCACTATCTGTGCAATGAAAATGGTTGTACGTGTGTGCTCTGTCCCATCTCTCTGCTTTTTCTTCCTTCTGAAAGGTTTCTTGTGCACTAATAAAGTATATTTCTTTCAAAAATGTAATACCAACCAGCCCAAGTAGCCACTCTTTTGTAACATTCTCTACCCACCCATTAAAGCACAGAGGTTTATATTTGTACAATTGGCTTTGAAGAACAGTAAGTATTATGCACATAAAAAAATTGAGCATCACGCAGTATCACTAATTCTGCGACGGTACTGTATCGTGAAATATTTCATACATGTAAGGCCTTAATTTTCTGACTACACCTTACAATGTTGCTAAAACTTCACAATTGTTTTCCTAAGTGGCATAAATATTTTCATTTCCAGCCTCTGGAAATACATGCCCTAAAGAAAAAATTCCAAAGTGCCCCAAAGACCAGCGACCAAAGTGCTATGTACCGAATGGTAGATGCAACTGCACTTGTAGTAAGTGGTTTTCTGACCTTATAAAGAGAATCAGTTGACGTAAGCCTGAAAGGAGCTAAATATGATACATACTAGCTACAATATTTTGATGAGCTTCAATTTTCACCATAGTTCTATTGTAATTTCTATGTAGAAGCAATTTTAGAACTTATTCGTGCACATGATCAAAATATCTCTTAAATTTCAAAGCACAAGATTCAGGTGATTTTTAACTCATGCTTTCCCTGTACGAGCCAAATGCTAGTTGACATAGAACCGTGATGTGAACTAGTTACTCTGACCTAGTTAGTATAGGCGCTATGTGCCTTTCTTCTTACAAAAAATACAAATATTAAAAGAAGATCATAAGCTCATAGCTCACTTTCGCGCCGTCTCAGTCTTATAAATCGGTTTTCACGAGAGTTTGAACAAGTGAACAAGTGTTATGAAGTGCTATGACAAAATACGTTAGCCTCAAAGCATCATCATGATGAGTGATCCGCTATAATAGCACATATTACAATTGTTCTGCATGCCAGAAGTCACGAATGTGTCATAAGGATTCGCAAACGTTTCGACTGCAAGAAACCGAGACAAAGCAGCCATGAATGCATATTGGCCCAAGTCCAGAAGCGGTAGTCTAGGTGCTAAAGTGCTCGGCTGCCGACCCGCAGGTCGCGGACTGGAATCCCGGCAGCGGCGCGGCGGCTGTATTTTAAATGGAAGCGAAAATGCTGCGCCCGTGTCTCCAGACGTAGAGGCACGATAAAGAACCCCAGGTGGTCTATATTCCCTGCACCCTCCTCTACGGCATCTCTCATAATAATATGGCGGTTTAGGGGCCTTGAGCCCCACATATCAATTATAGTGGCCCTAGCCAGAACGGTGAGCTTCGTGAAAGAAGGTAAATTCAAATTTCAATGAATCGTCTTAGAAATAGGTGCCAAAAAAAGAAAAAAAGTACTATATTGAGCCATGTCAAAGCATGAAACTCGTGCAGGGGGGGGGGGGGGGCACAAAGCGTGCAATGATCTACTGCTGTTTACTACTGGGTAATTTCAATTTCTCCTAATGGGCTTCTAATGGGCAATGGAGCAGCACTTTCTCGAGAGAGCCCATGACTGCCTGGTTACATACCAGAGCAGTGCTTTATAACTGTACCCAAAGCTGTGAGGTGGCTCGTAGCTAAGCGACTCGATGTGATCCTGGACTAGCCACTGTAAGATGAAGTTCACGCGATCGCTTTGGGGAGATGAGATTCTTGAATCGCGACAGGAATTTTCCACCCGGAACTAACCACTTCGCTGATTTGTTGTATGACACTATCAGTTGTGGCGCATCCTAGGTAAGAAGAGACTGGTCTAAGAAATCATTCTACGTACAAATGAATTTTATATGACATTATCAAATTCTTCAATGTCTCATTCAGCATTCACACTCTTCTGCATTTGATGATGTCAATGCTGTCATTACTCGCAACAGTAATGAAACAGGGTTGGCGCAAAGGAGGTCAATCATTTGATTATGCTTTATTGCCCACCTCCTAAAGGGAGTTGAAACGCTTTCCCTTCAAGTCATAAATCACTTTGGGAAAAGAATACTGTATGCAGTTCAATCTGGTAAAACAGTTGGCGCATTCTCCGCCAGGTTAATGTTTCGAAGATCTAGTCATTTCTCAGTAACCTTCGGTGACTTTGAACGCACCTATATCTCTATTTATCAGCCTAAAATTTTCAGCTCTCTTGGCCGTTGCAATGATGGTATCTATACTACAAATGTTATGGCATAACATGACAGTTTGACGAATACAGGTGATTAGTCATAACGCTGAAATTATGATATGTATGTCGTGAATGTTATGCTAAAGTTGTCATGATCTTGCTGCTCTTGCGGTGGATTCTTTGACATTACATATATCAAACTGGTATGGTATGACCAGACTGCATAGCGAACATGAGTGACAGACTTCCTGAGTCGTAGGTAAAAATTGCTGTCTCCTTACTTATTGCAATAGACTCCGAGAAATTCAGCGCGCTTACAATGTGTTTTAACTTGTTCACACACCTGTCTTGACTTCGGTATTTTTTGTAATATTATGGAAACTTTGGTAGTGAAAGAGAGTAAATAATCAGGGAGCGCTGCTTTAAAGCGTCCCCTTCGTCGAATGTCGCGGAAAGCACTCAACAGCCTGAGTCGTCTTCGGCGCATGCGTACCGTGGGCGCAGAATACTTGTTGTTGGAACTCTATAGAACGATTGGCACTTGGCCGAGCTGTAAAACGTGGTAGAATGCGAAACGAAGGGTCACAGGTTTGAACCACGATGGTGGCTTCGATAAATACTTCCTTCTCAGTTCTTTTTCGAAGTGCACCATCGGGGTGCGAACAGCTGAGCCTTCGCCTCGCATTCTGCCATGTTTTACCGCTCGACCAAGTGCCCCTAAATCTTAAGAATTCTAATGACGAGCACTTTGCGCTTACTGTACGCATACCTCGAAGACGACTGCGCGGAAGGGAAAGCCTGTGCGGAAGGCACAGCAGCGTCACAGCGAAAGCTAGACGAGTGGTGTTTCAGAGTCTTTTCTAAACACTTGATGCGTAACTGCCGCAAGCACACTTCCTTGATAGCCGCTACGGCATTAATATAGCCCCACCGTTGTGGTCTAGTGGCTAAGATACTCGGCTGCTGACCCGCAGGTCACGTAATTGAATTGCGGCTGCAGCGGCTGCATTTCGGATGGAGGCGGGAGTGCTGTAGGCCCGTGTGCTCAGATTTGGATGCACATTAAAGAACCCCAGGTGGTCAAACTTTCCTGAGCTTTCCACTACGCCGTTTCTCATAATTATATGATGGTTTAATGGCTGTTTAGGGACGTAATACCCCACCTACCAATCAATGCCATTAGCAATAAAAAGTTCAGGGTAGTAGGCCGGCAATCGTTATGTTATTTTTGTTTATTTTCTGTGAAGCGCGGTATTCGTTAAACACTTGAAAGGAATTTTGTACCTTGACTTGGCTCATGCTGTGGCTGACGACGATGAGGAGTTGTGCCTGAAGTGGGTATGCGCCACAATTATTTGCTGAACAAGAACAAGCTTTTGTAATGGGTTGAAGCCTTGGACAAGTTCCCTCGTTACGCTATTCACTATGTGCGATAAATGGTTGTTGTTTCGCTGTTTTGAAAAGCTTTATAATTCGCAGTAATGCGAGTGCTTTCCCGACATCAAGCCCGCCTAAGACAAGTTTGTCAAGAATACCCAAATCCAGTGTGGCTCAGTGGTATAATACTGGGCTGGCACCCTGCGAACAGGGGCTCGAGCCCCAATGGGTCGTTGGTTCTAGTTTTTTTCTGATTTCGTGCGATGTAGTTATGCACACCGGTGGAGTGGCGGCAGCGCACAACTGCGCGTGACCCGAGTTGTGATCTCATAACAGCTTTCGCTGTATAATATTTTTTTCTGAGTTCTGTTTTGTGGTTTCTACTTATACATGCACACTTATGTCCATCCGATAAGACATACAGACAAACATACAGACATACATATATACAGACAAACATATGTACAGACAAACATATATACAGACAAACATATATACAGACAAACATATATACAGACAAACATATATAGACAGACATACATACATACAGACAGACAAACAGACATACATATACATACATACACACACAAATACACACACACATACATACACACACATACACACACATATACACACATACATACATACATACATACATACATACATACATACATACATACATACATACATACATACATACATACACACATACATACATACATACATACATACATACATACATACATACGTACACATACTTATACATATCCAGTTTATGACAGCGACCAGGAAAATTTGTCAAAATAGTCAATATAACTTCTAAGCAGCAAAGTATATCCACAGCATCATTACGAGTACTTAGGAATCAGTGAAGAAAGAACCTATCTTAAGTTTCCTAAGCCTTAGGAATTATCTAGAGGCAACCATATTAGGCTCGATAATTGTTCAGTTTTGTTGTTTCAAGACTCGAGTGGCTTAGTAGAAGTCTCGGCATTTCTCACTTTTGACGTTTTTCTGGCAAAAGGCACTCACTCATTTCGACTGAATAACGCAGCACTCCCTCGTGCCATGACCGTTGTTGCAACGCAACTAGCTGCAATGACAGAGGAGGTATTTGTGATGATTCCGCACAAACAGCTGTTTTTATGTTCAATCTGTTGTCCAAATATGCAGTCTAGTTGTTTTTATTTTTTTATTTCCAACTCAATGAAAAGGCGCTGTTTGGTCATCTAGCCTGAATGCGCGAAGATGCTCGTCTTACGTTTTCGGCTACGTGGCGCTGAATCCGGAGACATGAATATGAATTCTTTTTACCATAGATTTCGTTGTTTTGTCTTTTTATCAAATTATAATAAACGCATCATAATTTATTGGCCTATTTGTCGCATTCTGTTTCTATGCACTCACCGTTGCTTGGCGTAGTGCAGACAACCACACATAACATATTGAACTGAAGCATAGTGATCAAGCACGCTCTCACGCCATGAAGAAGTGTTCCTTCTGTACTTATATAATATGTGTGATGGTGATAGTAAATGCACAGCACACTATGAGGCGGGCTGTCGTAAGCGGTCGTCACTTGGGATTGCGCAGACGAAAGCACGTAAAGAAATTGACAAAGGGGACGTAGGCTAGAAATTTTCATAGAGAGAAACAACTGAAATAATTTTGATGAAAAGTGAAAACAAATGGAAAGACAAGGAAGAATTGGAGCCAAACACTGAAAAAGAGACCAAGAAAGAAGGAGGAGAAGAAAAAAACAGAATCCTGAAGGAAGAAAACGAACGTTTCCTAGTTTTACCACTTTTTACTTCTGATTACAAGCAAAAGCAGCATATAAGCAGTCTGTTAAGGTCTTTCGTGAACTTACTTACAGGGCAACACCAGAAATAATACAGGACAGGGAAGGAGCAAAAGAGAAAA